GATCGCTGCAAAGCTTGTTGACAGCTCATTCTTCCCACAGCATGTCCTGTCATTTCCTACACCTGAGCTTGACTGCGCCGTGAAACTGTGGCCTGCGTTGGGAAACAAGGAGAAGTTGAAGTCTGAGCTGACCACGCTCTACCGCCACAGTGAGCTTCACACTGGAAACACGGCCCTGTCTCTGTTGAAATCCATTCACGAGAACAACTTGGAGGAAACGTTTGCTGAGACTGTTATTTTGGTCAAAATAATAGTGACAACTCCGATGACGACATCCGAGTCAGAGAGGAACTTTTCCACCCTCAAAAGGATAAAGACTTTCACTCGCAACACCATGGGACAGCCGCGACTTAACGCATTGGCCATGCTTTCAATTGAAAGCCAGTTGATCCAGCAACTACAGGACTTCATCCCCAAAGTGATAGACACATTCTGTCAGAGGAAGGACCGCCGTGCCGCTTTTCTTTTCAAGTGAGCCTTCAGCTTTGGTAAGTTCATTTGTCATATATTTTGTTGATCTTCTGTGTTTTGCCTCTGCTGGATCGATTGATATTGTGACCTCGATGATGAGTGTCTGTGTTTTCCTTATATTTACAGTCTATGGTGTTTTAATGCTAAAGCATACGGTTGTTGTTATTGTTAAGAATTACTTTGTGATGGTGACCTTTACTCCATGTATGAAGGTGCATTACTATGACATCCCCACGCTGTGTACGTAAATGTATGCACTCAGTGTTGCTCCTGTGGTCTTCAGTATGTAATTTGACACTCCCCCTCTCTCTCTCCTCCCCCCCTCTCTCCTCCCCCCCCTCTCTCTCTCCTCCCTCTCTCTGTCCCCCCCCCCCCCTCTCTCTCTCTCTCCCCCGACCTCTTTCTGCCCCCCCCAGTTTTGTACACCTAGAAACGCCACTGTATATATATATATATTGCTCGCATAAAATCCCCGGGTTTTTTTGCTTTGTATGTCGGGGGCGGGAGAATCATGTGATTGGTTGTTGGTCGTGTTGCTCGCAAAAAATCCCCACGCTGTCAGACACGCCCAGCTCCAAGATTTTCAAGATTTGTTCAAAGCTGCTGTGTGGACGGGCCGTCAGTAATCACTCAACTACTGTCTTTCCAACAAACAGATTGACTCACCCTCACTATCATCACAATGAAACACGTCCAGAAGAATGTCATGCAAAGCTGCCTGCCTTCCTTCCTTTGATTCTCTCTGAACTGCATGATCTTTTTAATGTTTAATGTCAACCATTAGTGCAGATAGCATTAAGTAGAAAAGATCGCCGATGCTAATGTGGCGTTAGCCTACTTCCCGCCCCTTAGCACCTGGTGGAGGGGGCGATAGGCTACTCTTCAAATGTTTCACAAAATACTTACCATCATGACTACTCTTACTGTTTAACATGTTGGTTTACTTCATGTTAAGGCTAATACAAATGACAAGGCTAAGTAATGTGATGCTAACTAACGTGCTCGCTACTAGCAAGGTAGTTAACTTGACTATGTTCCATGCAAAACATGTATATTACCCGATATGTTTGGTCCAACGACTCCTAGTCCTTTCATCAGACGGGAAGCGATAGAACGAGCAAGCAAAGTGTATGATCACTTTTGTGATTCCAACCTGGTACAAAGCACACAGGCATCTTGAAAAAATGAATTTATTGGAGCAATCTCTTATATTTATTGGAGGGAATAAATCAGTTATGAGATCTTCTTCTTCTTCTTTGCTTTAAGTGCGAGTCGCAACCAGTCTTGGAGCATTATCGCCTATGACATCACTTACGCGACCCAGAATGGACTCTGGGATTTGTAGTCTTTCTAGTTGCGTATTTTTCAGTCTTATATCTCAACAGTTTTACGACAAACTGTGACTTTTTTTTAAATGGAAATGATTGTTTAAGATTGACAAACATCATATGTGTCATTCGTGGCACAATTCAAACGGGATCAAGATAACCTTTCTCTCTCCATTGACTCCAATGTATAATGTTCCTCTTCCGGGGTCCCATGGACCGGAAGTAGATGGGCGTGACTTCGCCACTCTATAACGGTCTGCTGCTGCGTTCAGAGGCTGTGGGAATTATGGACACAGAGTAAAATTGCAAAAAAAAATTCTGTCTAGAGGAGTATTCTACTTCTAATTTTACTCAAGTACAAGATCTGAGTACTTCTACTTTTACCCAAGTACAAGATCTGCGTACTTCTACTTTTACCCAAGTACAAGATCTGCGTACTTCTACTTATTCACTATATAATGAATGATGAGTTCACGGTGAGTCATCCAATCAACACGGAAACACATTTTTGATCACGTTTGTTTTAATGGACTTTAAATGTTATTTTGAGAGATTGGAAATCAGGTCTAAAAGACGGGAAAAAAACCAATATATTTTTGTATTAATGATGATTATTTTTAAGCTTCTATGACATCCGATAAAAGAATAAGATAGAAGATATTCCAACTGATGAATTCCTTTAAAATGTTAGGTTTAAAATG